AAACAAACACCTTTTTTGGGGGCAGAAAAGTGCGTCATACAACGCCCACCCCTCATAGTAGACTATGTACGGGCGCGCACGTACATAGCGTACACAGAGACGCCCAGGTTGGCATTGGGCTTCGTTTTTCGCAGTTGGTTATGTGTTCTGGGAAAATTTCCCTGGCAGATGGTAATAAGAGTTTTGCAGTGCTTACTTGGCATCGACCGTCTTCCTGATTCTGTCTGCCTCTATTTTGCCCTCTATCATCTCTTGGAACCCAATAATCATTCATTCAACTCCATTGTCCCAAACAACTCTTTAATGCTAGAGTGTGCCTTGAAAGGCACCAAAGTGCAAATCTGTAACCATGCCATATCAACCCATGATAGTTCCTGATGAAATGACTTATCCACTTTGTCTGTAGGTCTTTGTACTGTCTAGCCGGGTCCATAATCCCCAAACGCCCTTTGAGCGGATGATTAATTATGTATTTCCAATTTTCCATCCTACCTTTGTAATAAAGTGAGTTCTGCTTGCATTGAAATCAGACTGCACTCCAAACTTGCTTACAACGTGCATACATGCAACTGATGGCAAACCAAACTCTTTCAACTCAGAATCAATATCGAACTTGCACTTAAACTCTGTTCAAGTCAACTGTACAACTCACGGCTATGGCCGCCGAACAATGTCTCCACCACCAGCCTCACTCTCCCTCATGCACGCATGTACGAGGACCTATCCTGAATGTCCACGCTACACATACACACACCCTCTGTACACTCTGTCTGTGCCAGCAGCTGGGCGGCGATGGCTGCCGTCGTCTTCCTCCTCCTAGCTATGGCCGCCGTCGTCTCCTTCCTGGCCAGCTATGGCCGTCGTCTTCCTCACTGCCCACTTCAACTCCGGGCACCTGCAGACCTCCACGCACAAGTCACCAAGGCAGCACTTCCGCATGGCTCACAAGCGAATGAATGAATGGCTGGACGCTGCCCCTTTATTTATACTTCTTCGGAGGTGGCTGGGCCCTGCCTCCAAACGCGTGAGCCGGGGCCAAAACGCGTGGGCCTGCGCCCTTACCGCGTGGGGCCCGGGTCTAGAATCTTCCAGGCCGGGTAGGCCTGGTAGGCCCAAAACGTGTGGGCCCTCTGGGCCAAAACGCGTGGCCTCAAAACACAGTTCCGGAGCCTTCTGCATACCGCGTGACGAGAACCTTCCCCCACGTGCAGCCCTTCCCTGATACTTGCTGACTGGACCGGCCTACAGGGACCTACAGCCTTCTAGAGCCTACAGACCTATGGACTGACTCTAGGCCCTCAGTAGACTCGGGTAAAGACTTCTAGAACAGACCTTCCTAGGACTACCGGTAACAGCCTTAACTACTAACCGACAGATTAGGGATCAAGTCCAACTTACCCTACCTACGGTCTAACCTATGACACAGGACAGGTCACGGGTTCAAATCTCACACAGTCACTGGGTAGATGTACAGGGTACAGGAATAGGTCTAGGGATCGAATCTCACACAGGTCACCGGGTCAATGTACAGGGTACATGGGGTAGGTCTAGGGATCGAATCTCAGGTCTGTGCCTGTCGGGGTAAACTGGGTGAAATCGTTTCAGCATCTCCTGTCCATAAGTAAGCTGCAGCTTTTCTTCTGATCTGTTTGGTGAAATCCTTAGGCGGGCTCCGGACTGAAGCCACGTACCAAAACATTGAGAATATGGATACATTAGTGACTAGTACCCGCCGTATAATAGACATATGAATTTTCTGCCACCCAGCCAGTTTGTTAATATCCTTGGCTAGGAGACAAGGTGCCATTTGATCGCTTGTGCCCTGTGTGCTAACCGTAACTCCCCAAAATCTAAAAGGCTCTTGTATATTCATCCATTGCATTGTAAACTCTTCTTGGGATATGGCTGGTATTGGGGTGTCTGACATCCACCATCCTGCTGTTGTTTTCCAGTTAATCTTCATTTCTGATGCTAACTGAAAATGCCTGCAGAATAGTGAGGTCATCAGCAAACAACATAACCGTAGGAAAGAGGATGCATTAGTCCTGTTTCATCATTTTCAGCAAGAAGTCTATCAATTGAAAGGGCCTTTTTCACCCGATGTAGGCCTCGGGCCTTGCAACTGAATAACGTAGGCCGTGTAAAAGTAAAGCAGCCTGAAGAGGTATCTCGCCAGGGCTCAGAACGTGGGAAGCAAGTCAAGAGTCCAAGTTCTCTACCAACGGGCACATCCTAAAGTAAAGGGCATTGTCAAAGGGCTTACCTGCTCGCCAACAGTTGTGTAGGTGATAAGTGAGGTGTGTCTCTACGAGTAGCCATTGTGCCTGTTCGTGAACAGAGGAAAGGTTGTGTCTGTATGTACAAAGCTGGTGTCTGTTCGTCTAAGATGTGACCTTTCAAAAGGAAGTCAACAGTTATGTCCCAGTGGCT